CTAGTTAGACATGAGCCACAATAGAACCATCTGGGTCACTCTACCCTAGTTTTAAGAAACTAAACTAAAATTGAAGGTTAGTTGTAGTAACAATAAATTTATACAAAAAAAAAGAGAAAGTCACTTTCACTCATTGGATTTCTTATCCTCGTTAAATTCACTGATTAAATACACAAAAAAAGAAAGTAAATAAAAAAAATAACAATACACCTAATTAAGGGAGCTAACTAACACTGTTATGCATAAAGTTCTGCATAAACCATTAAGTAGTTTTGTCTTTGAATGTTAAATAGCCTGTCAATTTGAATCAATAAATAGAAACATAAAAAATCTTTTGTTGATTGTTTGTAGTTTTATATAGTACATGATTATTGACTTAGGAGATAAATAATAAAATACTCATATAATCCCAATAGGTCTTTAGGGGAAGTATCACAGTATGAATACAATATCACAAAGATAATAAATATTGAAAATAACATTTAATTTCAGGCTTGGTTATTATAAAATAAGTAATTAGATAGTAATTCTTAGTAATATATTTATTAGTAGCTGACTAGTTGGATAACATACAAAATTTGTGTGTCTGAATGTAACAGTCCTCTTGCTACATGAAAATCATTCTATTTTATTTAATTATGAAAAATAAATAATAATGCACACATTTTTTAAATTACACAAATAATAAAATCAAAACTTGAGTTTATATTAAACATATTAACTTTTTAAGGCTTACTAAATTTAAATTAAATTTATTTATGGACAATTTGAAAAATTAATTAAAATATTATGTATGGTGCTGCAGCACAAACAAAGACATTATACATGATGTTATAGACTAAAAATATTTAAAATAACAAAATAAATTAGTCGAAGATTAAAAAATAGAAAATACACAGTAAAACATTAGCATTAAAGCTCAGTATTAGGTAATTGAGTGTTGAATGATGTGAAGGGAATATTAAATAACCTAAGATCATCCTGCAAGTCAGCTAATCAAAGCTGTTTGGTTTAGTCTAAAAAAAGGTACATAAAAATGTTTGTAGTTTTCTAGTTGAACACAAGTTTGAACAAAAAGTTCAGGACAATTACATCTATTTATAATATTTAAATAGCAAAGTGAAGTCTATCTTTTTTGCCTAATTTCAAGCTCAGAAACTGTTCCAAGAAATCATATTCAAAATAAACATAAATTTAAAAGCTATATGTATCAGAAAGTTGTGCTGGACAAAGTCTATTTTCCTACTATATATTATATAGTGTGGAGTCCAAACATAAGAGAAATAAAGAACTTTAATTACAGTAAAATCATGGGTAAACCTTTAGATAAAACCCAACATTTTTATGGATTTGTGGACAGCAGCAGAAAGTGTTGATTAAATCTTAAAATGGGAACAAGAATAATTCCAAGTATTTAATTTGATAAACATAGTCTAAGATATGCTGATTTAAGTTATAGTCAAATGTAGTTGTAAGTAGGTGGGAATGATAAAAACGCATGTAATAGCATTTATGGCATTCAAGACCTTACCATAAAAATTACTTGTCAATCATTCCAAAAATGACTATTAATATTGAATTTCTATCATTTTAGTGAAAGTTTTACTAAGAATTTCTATCTAATAACATATTACTAGCTATTGCCCACGTGGAGTTGTGTTTATAATATCAATAAATGCATGACTATTAATTTTTATTAATTTTACTATTTTTTTTTATTAATTTTTACTAGTTTATTAATTTTTATTGATATTTATTGATATTTATTGATATTTATTGATATTTATTGATATTTATTGATATTTATTGATATTTATTGATATTTATTGATATTTATTGATATTTATTGATATTTATTGATATTTATTGATATTTATTGATATTTATTGATATTTATTGATATTTATTGATATTTATTGATATTTATTGATATTTATTGATATTTATTGATATTTATTGATATTTATTGATATTTATTGATATTTATTGATATTTATTGATATTTATTGATATTTATTGATATTTATTGATATTTACTAATATTTATTAACATTTATTAAATTTTTTTATTTATTTGTATTTATTTTTATGTTTTTTACTTAATCAATCGCCAGTTAAAATTAAACTATTTTGTGAATAATTTTTTCTGTAATTTTTATTAATTTTAATTAATGTTTAATATTTGTTAAAATTTATTAATATTTATTAAAATTTATTAATATTTATTAATTTTATTAATATTAATAGTTATTAATATTTATTAATAGTTATTAATATTTATTAATATTTATTAATATTTATTAATATTTATTAATATTTATTAATATTTATTAATATTTATTAATATTTATTAATATTTATTAATATTTATTAATATTTATTAATATTTATTAATATTTATTAATATTTATTAATATTTATTAATATTTATTAATATTTATTAATATTTATTAATATTTATTAATATTTATTAATATTTATTAATATTTATTAATATTTATTAATATTTATTAATATTCATTAATATTAAATTTCTATAATTTTAGTGAAGGTTTTACTAAGAATTTATATCTAATAACATATTACTAGCTGTTGCCCACGTGGAGTTGTGTTTATAATATCAATAAATGCATGATTATTAATTTTTATTAATTTTACTAGTTTTTTTTTATTAATTTTTACTAGTTTTTTAATAATTTTTATTAATATTTATTGATATTTATTGATATTTATTGATATTTATTGATATTTATTGATATTTATTGATATTTATTGATATTTATTGATATTTATTGATATTTATTGATATTTATTGATATTTATTGATATTTATTGATATTTATTGATATTTATTGATATTTATTGATATTTATTGATATTTATTGATATTTATTGATATTTATTGATATTTATTGATATTTATTGATATTTATTGATATTTATTGATATTTATTGATATTTATTGATATTTACTAATATTTATTAACATTTATTAAATTTTTTTATTTATTTGTATTTATTTTTATGTTTTTTACTTAATCAATCGCCAGTTAAAATTAAACTATTTTGTGAATAATTTTTTCTGTAATTTTTATTAATTTTAATTAATGTTTAATATTTGTTAAAATTTATTAATATTTATTAAAATTTATTAATTTTATTAATAGTTATTAATATTTATTTATTAATATTTATTAATATTTATTAATATTTATTAATATTTATTAATATTTATTAATATTTATTAATATTTATTAATATTTATTAATATTTATTAATATTTATTAATATTTATTAATATTTATTAATATTTATTAATATTTATTAATATTTATTAATATTTATTAATATTTATTAATATTTATTAATATTTATTAATATTTATTAATATTCATTAATATTAAATTTCTATAATTTTAGTGAAGGTTTTACTAAGAATTTATATCTAATAACATATTACTAGCTGTTGCCCACGTGGAGTTGTGTTTATAATATCAATAAATGCATGATTATTAATTTTTATTAATTTTACTAGTTTTTTTATTAATTTTTACTAGTTTTTTAATAATTTTTATTAATATTTATTGATATTTATTGATATTTATTAATATTTATTATTATTTATTAATATTAATTTTTTTTTATTTATTTGTATTTATTTTTATGTATTTTTACTTAACCAGTCACCAGTTACTATTTTGTGAATAATTTTTTCTGTAATTTTTATTATTTTTTGTTGATTTTTATTAATTTTAATTAATGTTTAATATTTATTGATATTTATTGAAATTTATTAATATTTATTAATATTTAAATATTAATTGAGGTATTGTTAAATGTTGATATAAAATACAGGGTCAATTTAAAAACTAAGTAATTATATATTTGAGTTTTGACTCACCCTGTACATATTTGATTCAAATTGAAAAAAGTAGTGAATTGGCACAACTGTTGACTAATTTTGAAAACTTTTTACCACAAAAAAAATTGGTTTTCAATTGTTTCTTTTGCATTATACAGGGTATTAAAATCAATAAGATATTTATATAAAACTGGTTGTAGGGTGTGAAATACCCTGTATCTCATACTATTTGGTATTGTTATAATGGCAAAAGTGAGGGCAATTCAAATATAAAATAAAATACAGGTGTCCCACTTAAAAAAAATTAATTTTGATATGTATCATTTTATTGGAGAACCCTGTATAATTGAAATTGTTCTCTTTCCAGATTTTTAAAAATCAAATTTTTGCTTTTCATACTGAGGCATTATTGGTGGTCCACCCTGTATAGTTTTTATTATTCATTAATATTCAAAGTTTGTTACAGGTCTGGACTTTCTAAAAATATCTTGAATTACAAATACATAAATGCAAAATCTAAAACTTATTAGATAAAAATAAATAAAACCTATTTTGAAATTTTTAAACTAAAACGTTTCAATTTGATTTTAGTACTTCAAACATTTTTCTAATTATAATGAAGCATAATTGACATTCTAATCAAATAATAGGCAAGATACTGTTAAAGATGGAATCTGAAAATTTCTGGACTGAATTAGATATATTTGTAAATAAGTTGGAGCTAATTTTTTAGATTAAAAAATTTTGAGCATTGTTACTTTTTTTTTTTAATTATTTTGAAATAGGTCATTTGAAAGAACCTGAAAACTTGTATATGATACATTTAGGATGACAAAAAAAATTTCACTGATATTTTCAGAGGTTTTTTATATGCCAAGCACTTTTAACTTAAATCAAAGGGAACTGCAAAAAATGTGTATAAGGTAAGTTTTCTAAAAGTAAATGAATTTACATTTGTGAAACCAGATATATAAAAAAAAACACAGGGTGTGAAAGGATTAAGGAACAGAGATTTGAATCTATTTTTATAATATAATATTGCAATTAAAATTAAAGAATATTCAATAATTTTTTTGTTCAAAAAATTTTTTACTGATATATTTAAAAACCAAACTTTATAAGTAAAATTATAATTTACCTTTGAAGACAGACCATCATGGTAGTGAGTGTTTCTGTAGGAAGTTGAACTTGTACTTTAGATACAGACTCTTCTTTTCCAATCTGGGGTATGCGCCGATGTAGAAATTTTATACATGCCATCACAAAAGATTCTCCATGTTCATTTATTTTATCTGAAAGCCACTTTTCTAATTTTAAGTACTCCCTTCTAGAAGCCAGACATGCCAAATCTATTATAAATGGATAAGATTGGGCAGACTGTGCATTTAATAGCATAGATAAGGCCTTGAGATCTTGAGCTACATCAAGAATCCTAGACAGTCTTGTTTGATCACATTCACCCCTAACGTACCATTCTGCCATAGCATGCATAATTATTGGCTTTATATTGATACTTTGAGTATGCCATGCATGATGCAAGATTATGGCAGAATTGGGGTGATTGCCTAAAAAAATGGGAATCAAAGTTGTAAGTAATTCTTGTCTAAGTAAGGTAACCGGTGCAGATATTTGAATTAAAGCCAATACCAATACATCTGCACAACTGTGCATTGGCATTTTAAACAATTCATGAACATGAGTATATAGTCCACATTCTGAAAGACTTAGTAATAACTCTACAAGGTTTAAAGATCTCCAATTTGCCAGTTCTTTACTGTCTTGCTCTGGGGGTGTTTTGAGGACATCAACTGCAACTGGAGCACAAGAATAGTCTGCAAAACAGAACACATCGGGGTTTTTTAGAATATTTTGTATTAAACTGAACTGTCCTTCTACATTTTGCCACCTTTTATATAATTGGTCAACAGGGAAAGTGTCAGGATGGAAACCAAAAGTTTGTAACCCTTGTCTTAATGCATTCATTAACAAACACAAACCATGCCTTTCTTTAATCATAAATTCAGGATGATCTAATTCTGCAACAACACTATTCCACTGAAAATTAGGAACAATTTCTTTAAGTGCTTGGATGAAGACATCAATATTCCATGTTGTTCTGTTATCAGTTCCTTTGTTGAAAGAACCTGGTGCTTGAATTGTCAGAGAATCTTCAAGGCCACTGTGTGTTCTGCACATAACAGCAAGGACACGTGATATAACTGCAGGGGATATATCCCTGCCTCCTAATTTCATGAGATTGTTGCGGCATTCTTCAACAGAAGATGTAAAATTATAACCTATTTCAGCCACTATCTCTGCCAATGAAGTTTCTAGCATACCCCCGGATAAACCGGGGCCTTCTGAAGACATTTCTGGAGCCAATTCACTTTGTTCTGGGTACACTAATGGTGCAAGCACTACAGGCACTAAGTCCTTGGGGAAATCTCTTTGCAGAGTTTTCAAAAATGTTGTATGAATCTCGTTGGTAAGGCCCACTTCTTTAGGGCCTTTAAGAACAGCTGACAATATTAAATGAAGTACTTCTGGTGTTGTTTCGTGAAGACCTCCTTCGTGTTGCCTGCTGCTTCCTTCTGTATCAATATAAGACTGAACCAAAGCAGGTACTGTGGATCTCAAGTGAGTTTGAGCTAGAGTTCTGGCTTCAGCAATTGATGAATGACGAAGTGCAATAGCAAAAACTACTTCCTGGACAGCTGAGAGGCGAAGGCACTTGCTCAACTGATGGAAGAACTGAGGTCCAAGTTTTATAGTCTGAAAAAATTGATAGGTATCAAAGAAATGTTTCATTAATCAAACAAAAACTTACCTTGTGGTTTATCAATGGATTGTCTGTAATATAACAAAGGGCTGTTAACAATGATGGCTTGTTCAACAAACTAGAGCACTGTTCTAGTAATGCTTGATTTTGGGGAGATGGAGCTGATATTTTAGTAGTAGACTCAGAAAAGTCCACTGATGAAAACAGACATTGGAGCAAGTGACGGTCCGCCTCCAGACCATGCAAAGAAACAAGCTGTCAAAAAAATACACTGATTAAGTATAATTTTGTCAAATAAGTCCGAAATTTGATGCATTTTTATATTTTTGTGAATTTTAATTACATTTTAACAGGATTCTAAACAAAAAACAACAGTCAAAACACCTTTGTTCATCGTTTCGTTACTCTGTCGGTAAAAAAGTTCCCTATAACGAAATATCTGGAGAACATGGCGGATGATCTAATTTTTTGTCATTTTTTTGTGATCGTTCTTCATATATGTTCGCACACTATATAGATAAATTTAATTGTACTTACTTTAGTCAGATCTCCAACTACTTGCTTATAGTTTTTTTTAGTTAACGTAGCAATCAAATAACTTATTTGTGACAAAGTGAAAGACAACGAGTCTAGGTTCATAGTTCCATGAACACGGCCTCGAAAGCTTCAAATAAGTTTGAAGCTTTCTTAGGTATATCTGGTGTATCTATCCAAAAAGTCTTATTTGTTTTTAAAAAATAACTAAATTTTTTATGGCCCAAGACCATCATCGAGTCTTTAATGAACTTTCTCCACTTTAATTTAACACACTCATTGTAGTTGTAGAACTCACGCAACACACAACACATGCACAAATAAAACTTCGGAGAACTGCGCAACGCAGGACGTCAAAAGTCAATGAATGACAAAACAAATAAAGCCTATTTCTATTTGATTACCAGGTTCATAATCGGTAAAAGAGTTTCGAGTTTCAGAATAATTTTGAACTTTATTAAATTTAATTAATTAAAATTTGTAATATCCATTAGTTACAGTGGTTACAGGAATGAAAAAGAAACAAATGAAAAGGATATTTTGGAAGAAATATTCAATTATATATTTTAGGAATGTCTGCGCCATCTAGGTATATGCAACCAGTATATCACCAATATCATAATCTACTTTTGGCACAAACGTGCTCGGATTTATTTTAAATGTTGACATAATAAAATAGGACTCAACAGAGAACCCTGAAGGTCTACCCAAATTATATCTAAAACTTCAGAGCATAATAATTCTTACCATTTACTTTCCTTCTGCTGAAAGAAGATTTTATCAGCGCTTTCGATCTTCGATTCCGTAAACTAGAAATTTTTGCAACACTGCTTTATGATTGACACAATAAAACACCTTAGTCAAATCACAGGATATCTCTCCTTAGTTTAAATTCATTTTAGAGTAAGCAAGTTCAAGAAAAGAAAATATCGTAATAAAAAACAGGCGGTTGGAGGTGCCAATCTAGTCCTGATAATCGATTTAGGCAACCAATAATACACATGTGTAATTTTGATTGTATCCATTCAGGTTTCAAAATTGTTACGGTTTTTTTACTGGACGACCATAAGTATGTTTAGTATCACAACATTTCTAAAAAATCCAAGTTAAATTACATATGCTGCGTTTGAGAATCCACATCGGATGCATCTGAGATGTAAAAAATCTTTGATCACGTGATTCAGTATACGTAAATGTAATGGGACAGATGTGTTCGATGTGGATAAAAAAACGCTCGAGATGTAAAAAATGCATCCAATGTAGATTCTCAAACGCGGCACTAATTATTTATTTATTTTTTTCAATATGGCTATCATGTACTTATTAGGTACAGACTGCTGAAACAGCAACCTATTTAAGTGTGCCTTGTTGATCATTACTATGAAGACTTACCTCTAGTCTTCATAATCATTACTGTCGCCTTTTCGACAAAATCAAATTAGGCATTAAATGATTTGTCAAAATGCTGCCTGAAGGGATTGATATGGCAACCGTGTGGGCCTCTTGGCTTTGACAGGGTCAATGATACGTAGTTGAATAGATTGCTCAAAGCGGATCGTTTTGCGAACGACCATATTGCCTCGCAAATGCTCATTAATCAGAATCGATTTAGTAAAAATGTGTTTTAAAACCAATTTTTACCTTTGAATATAGTAAAAAAAATTATTACCTACATTTTTACTTTAAAGCTTGTTTATTTAAAAAAAATGAATGAACAATCTATAAAGCTTTCTATAGCATTGACCCTATCAAATCACCAGGCCCACAGGGTTGCCATATTAAAGTCTGTCATTATTCACTGGCAGTCATAAATATTATTTTTTACTTAATTTTAATATATTTTCTAATCTAAGGGAAACGTGACCTTACAACTGACTTTTGAAAACCCTTTACAATATGGAAAACTGTAAGGAGAAAACCTTGCAAACACTGTAAAAGGCAATTTCAATTCCAATAAATGGTTGTGTCAATAACCTCGTTACTCGTAAACGTAGACACTTCCAAAAATTTTGTGAATGCCAAAAGTAGTGTATATTTTGAATTTTTGATATGACGTATTCACTAACGATCTTTAGTTTATTTCCAAAAGATGTATGGCATTAAAAATAAAATTAATAGATCAAATTCTGAATCAGATTTGAATATTACAAATTTCGACAACTTATCAGTGAGCTCTCCTAGGGATTCTTCAATTGAATTTTCTAAAAACTTGTTCTCTCCAATTGTTAGACGTGTTTATATTGAAGAAATAATTTCCACGGATAAAAATCACTTTTCAAAGATGAGCAGAAGTTATAGTGAATTGCTCAGTAAGTTTTTTAATACAGTTTCTATATTATAGGTTTAATATTTCAATGTATTTTACAAAAAATATGTGTGTTGATAAGATGTATGTAAATCACATAATATGGAGTTACCTACCTGTTGTGTGTTATAATATGAAAAAAGTTAATAATAACCTTTATATACCTAATATAAATAAACTACAAATTGAAAATTATTTGTTGATTTGCATTTTTGATCATCCAATATTCATTGTAAGTAAGCTTGAATTTGTTAATTTCATTTCTTCTTTAGGTAGATGGAAACGTCAATAATTATATTGTATTTTTTTAACTTAATATTATTAGCTATAAAGAATCAAATTGGGTCTCTTATTTGTATCATTATTAATCTCAAAAGCTAAAGTCTTTTGCATAATATCTGCGAACCATGTGTTTTATTTATACTTACCTATGATTTCCCAATATAAGAACCATAATATATGGCCAATCTGACCATTTCGTTATCTATGATATTTGACACTTCATTTAAAAACTAATTTTATTAGTAATTTAATGCACAATTAGTATTCTTAACATAACTCAAACTGAATGAAACAATATCTTAAATACCTAATTAAAAAACCTTGCCATTAACAGTGGCAGCTCCTGACTTAGTCTATGGGGGGATACTTTTGAAAGGCACTTAAGATATATAAAATGTATCACAACTTACTTTTTATTTATCCTAAACTAGGAGCTGGATACCTTTGTGGAGTTAAGAGCCATTTTTTTCCTGATGTGGTAAATTATTTTTTTAGATTAGAAAAACATAATAATGGTTAGCATAGAGTGGAGAGCAATGCTAGGTTTATATGCATGTGATCTGCCTCACAGCAACTAACATATTTTCAAGTTCTTTATCACTACGTAACTATTGAAAAGTTTTAGCAAATCAACTCATATGGGTACATGATTTTAAGATATTAAAACCTTTGGTTTGTAATATTTTGCTAACAATATTGGCTCTAAACAGAACATTATACCACAACATTAATGTATATATATATATATATATATAAATTGGTAACTTTTTAATTTATTTGATAAAGATTCAGCAGAAAGAACAGTAAAACTAAACTCTTATCTATAAAAAATAAAAATTAAAACCTTTGCCTGTTTAATTTTATCACTTAATGCTCAAAGTTTAATATGTATTTTTGATAAAATTTTAGCTTTAGTTACGTCAAAACAACCATTACTAATGTGCCTTTCTGAAACACATCTTACTGATAACATATTTGATCCTGAAATTACTATAAATGGTTATAATAGTAATAGGGTTAATAGTGACAGTTGGCACATGGGTGGGGCTTTAATGTACATAAGTAATCAGTTAAAAATTTTGAGTTGTAAAAATTTTGCACACTAAAAAATATTGGATACCATTGACGTTTTTATTTGAAAACAGTAATTACTTAGTTTTTAGTTTATGTAGATCCTCTAGTAGTTCTTGTAAGGAGTTTAATACAATTTAATACATTTTAATACATTTTAATACAGTTTAATACAGTTTAATATAGTTTAATACAGTTTAATATAGTTTAATACAGTTTAATATAGTTTAATACAGTTTAATATAGTTTAATACAGTTTAGCACAGTTTAATACAGTTTAATACATTTTAATACAGTTCCAGGTGACCTAAAAAGTTCAATAATAACACAAATAACTAAGGTTGAGAATTCAAATATGGCAGAGGATTTATGTCCTATTAATATGTTATTTACAGTAGAAAAAAATTTAGAGAAAGTAGCATATAATCAACTAATTCAATATCTGGAAGACAATAATGTGTTTAATAGTAATCAATCACCCAAAAAAGTATTGGATACCATTGACGTTTTTTATTTGAAAACAGTAATTATAGTTGTTAGTTTATACAGATCCCCTAGTAGTTCTAGTAAGGAATTTAATACAGTTTAATATAGTTTAATACAATGTAATACAGTTTAATACATTTTAATACATTTTAATACATTTTAATACATTTTAATACATTTTAATACATTTTAATACATTTTAATACATTTTAATACATTTTAATACATTTTAATACATTTTAATACATTTTAATACATTTTAATACATTTTAATACATTTTAATACATTTTAATACATTTTAATACATTTTAATACATTTTAATACATTATAATACATTTTAATATATTTTAATACATTTTAATACATTTTAATACATTTTAATACATTTTAATACATTTTAATACATTTTAATACATTTTAATACATTTTAATACATTATAATACATTTTAATACATTTTAATACATTTTAATACATTTTAATACATTTTAATACATTTTAATACATTTTAATACATTTTAATACATTTTAATACATTTTAATACATTTTAATACATTTTAATACATTTTAATACATTTTAATACATTTTAATACATTTTAATACATTTTAATACATTTTAATACATTTTAATACATTTTAATACATTTTAATACATTTTAATACATTTTAATACAATTTAATACAGTTCCAGGCGATCCAAAAATTTCAATAAAAATTAAGATTTAAAAATATTTTATCAAAAGGACAAAAAAAATGAATTAGGTGTACCCCAGGGAAGTGTATTGGGCCCATTATTTTGTTAATCATTTACAGGAAGTAACCACCAGTATTATAAATGCTACATTAAAACAAATAATATGATTGGTGCTATTTAATTCATAAAAAAAAGTTTATGATTATCAGGAATGTTAGGTATTACAATGAATAAACTGAAAATAATTTGAAAATTAGTATTGAAAATAATACACATATGTTTGCAATGGCCCTGTATTGATTAATGGCATAACAATCTATGTTTGGCATACAAATTACATCATACTAATACAATATTTGACAATGACAATATTTCCTTAGCCAATTTGCTTAAAAAAACAGATGAATTTGAGTTATACAGGACATTCTTTGGACTGGGCCATTGCCAAATACTACATTTTAGACTAGCACTATACTATTTATCAAAATGTAATGTTTGTAAAAATTTTTGGCCCATATTAAGTACTTACTGCTAAATAATTTTCTCACTGATTTAAATAAATTTAACTTCTAGGTGATGGACCATGTTCGCCAAAGCTAATAAGAATAAAAAAAGATTTTAGATCAGAAGGTACGCCTATGGAAATTGACACTTCCTATGAAGAACGCTTCCCAAAAATGGTCGGTGCAGAATATATGAACAAATCGTTAAAAAAATCTGTTATGTTGGAAAGTAATCGAAGTGAAACACAAATTCCACAAGAAATAAAAGCAAGAGTAATACATATAAACCCTGTTAAAAAAGAAGAAACTAAAATTAAGTTGTGGTGGTTATTGATTCCAGTTATTCCTATTATTTTAAGCTGTTTATTTAATAATTATTCCTACATTTTCGTAAATTCTGACATTCAAGTTGAAAATATTAAAAATGATTTAATGAAAAATGTTCATGGACACAAACCATTGGTAGAATCTATTGTATATATATTAGAGAACAGACAAAATTGGGAAGACATGAACAAACTTCTTGTATTTGTTGGTTCACAGGGCGTGGGAAAAACATTTACAGCAAATTTGTTTAAGAAACATTTCTCTTCAAATTTGGTACATGACATTTATGGATCACAATTATATTACGAGACTGAAAAGCAGAGAATACTTGATGGTATTAAAAGTTGTTGCCTAAATTTAATAATAATTGATGATTTAAATCAAAATGATAATGATGAATTATACGATTTTATTCACGTTTTACCTAAAAATTCGTTTATTTTAGTAATAGCTATTTATAATATTCATTATTCAGATAATAATATGAACACAATCTTAAACCAAGAAAACATTGTTAGAATTCGTGATAGTTTTGATGTTTCTGGTATAAAAAATTACGAATTGCTTGTATTCGAAGACTTTACACAGGAACAAATTAAAGACTGGCTAAAGAAGCAAATTGAATCGAAAAATGTTTCATTAGATCTTGAAGATGAAATTCTGCAAAACGTTTTAGATGCTCATAATGTTGAACATGGACTGAAGGGACTACATTCCAAATTAGTTATGGAATTAGAAAAATATAGAAATTGAAATGTTATGTTAATAAGTAATTTTGAATGTATTTAATGATAATCATTAAATTTTTATTTTTCTAATGAGGCTTTTCATTTTTCAAAAAAGAAGAAGGCTCGCAATTCGTCTGAATATTTTTTTATCACGTTGTCCGATTTCTAAAATTCTTTTTTTGTTAGAAAAGGGGTATTTTAGGGGTGGTCCCATATAAATTTGGTCAAGATTTAATAATTTAGTCTATGATAAAATCAAACTAATCTTTGATGGATCAACGACGCCCTTCGTCGCGCAGTACCACCTATCTTATATCCGTCACGACGCAAAACCATAATAAATAACTTCCTCAACGCTGCGACGTACCTAAAATCGACGCCGTCATAGCGCTAGATAAAATTAATACTTAATGTCTAGTTCAGACGGACCTAATGTCTATATTTTCATTGGCGAGTCAAAAAGGTTTATATAACATTCTTTGAGATATCGTGACTACTATTACTAGAGGTAAAAGGCCAAATACAGTAAGAATTTAAAGTAAAACAAAATTAAGATGCAAATAATAAAATTTCAGATTTAAACAAAAATCAAAGGGGTATAGAGTGGGTAGTTGTCCTAGAAGTTTGAAACAAAAATAACTTTGTAATTGATGAAGGAAAAATAAAACTCCAGTGATATATTCACCTATTTTTCTTTCTTCTACATATTAAACCCAGTCAAAGTCCAATCTAATTAACGGTGAAAGTTCACTTTTTGAATTTTTTTATGTAAAAGTGATAGACAGTTTAATATCTTTTTTAATGTTCATATACCCATGTTGGCAGTTTCACCATAGTAGCTATTGATGAAACCATTTACGAAATGCTTTATTTTTTCTAATTTTGACTAGATTAATTAATAAAATTGTTTTGTTAAGAGATTACTGACGTACAAGAATTTTTCTAACTTTGACTAGTTTATAAAATTGTGTTGATAAGAAATTACTGACATCTAAGCAACCAACATTACTACTTTCTTGTATTGTTGGTTGCATGTGCGTCATTTTATTGACAAATAGAATATATTATTCTCAGCAACTTGTAGTGTATTTATATGGCGTATTAAAGTTATTAATTTTTAAATAAGTGGATTATTTAGTCGTGCATTGTGTTTTAATTATTTTGTGCTGATTTAGAATGGAAAATAAGTACCGAAACAACATTATTATTTATAGTTTACTTAAATACTATTTTTTTAAGTGAAACTGCCCTTCTTTGGTATAAACTTTCAATAATAATGTATATTATTTATTTTAAAACCAAAAAAGTTTTTTTTTTATTTATTTTTATTTCACAACTGGTGACAATAAATGTTTTGAATTAGTTTTATAATGTTTAACATTATGCAAATGGTTGCATAAAGTAGGTCTATTTTGGTAATTGCTGCGATTACAAAAAATATCGCATAATATGTCAAAAATTAAAAAAAAAACCAAATATTAATACGCTATACCATTTGATTCTGGATACGGCCCTGGCGAAACGTCGTCTAGCTTCGCTTCGGGTCCTCGACCGAAGACAGTAGTTGTTGACAGGTTGTTGATATTTGAGTATGTAACAGCTTTTTATTTTTCTATGTGTAACAGATAATTGTGTTTATAAACAGAACAAACTACACCTCCGTTAAAACTGTCGCCTAACTCGTGGATGTGATTTTTAAGTGTCGTTATGCCCGTAATTTCAGTGTTTTTATGTTAAAAAGCATTGCACGGTTTCCAAAATCGCTAAAAGTGTACAAAGTTCATCGGTGTATTCTGCAGTAAGTACTATTAACTGTTCATAGTTTCCAATTTCCTTTGATGCATAATAATATTCAATTTCAGTGTTTAATAAAGCACTGCGCGATTATTTTAAAATTGTTTCATAGTTTCCACATTCAAACGGTCGATCGCATCGATGTCCGTTTCGTGTGCTATCGTTTCTTATTTTCGCTTCTAGCGCGTAGCTCGGTGCGAGTTTCCGGAATTGTACTCTCCCGCTGTTGCCAGACTGTTTAAAATTTCTGATTTCTCACGAAATTTGACTTTGTTTTAAATTCAACAGAACATTTGCTTATGAACTAAAAAAACATCGTTTTTGAAGATTTTTTTAATCAATTTTCTCTTAATATCTAACGTGTTTTATGTGAATGACTAATTAGCGCCTAAAGTTAAGATGTTTTTTTGAAAACGGTAACCACAGTGCTAACGTCGTAAACATTTTTGATTAAGCCCGTACTAAATATATTTGATAACTTTCCAGGAAAGTCATGTTATGAAAGGACTCTGTATATTAAAAAATAAAAAAAATATCTCAGGTATATATTTGTAATGGCATATAATGCAATTAAAGTAACAAAATAATACTTAACAATTTTTATGAGTAGATGTTTGAATGAAAATGAAAAGTAAAAAAATAAATGAAACTAATACTAATCCACCACAAAATTGGTCCTAAATCTACAAAGTCTATCAACTGAATTCTAATATTCCTAATCTACTTCTAATCTTCTGAAGTTGCCTGTAATACCAGACAAGGAGTCGCCTTCTGATCCACAGGAGGTCACGTTTCTTTTCAATGCGGAAACAGCGCCCTCTTTGGCCTTGGCACTGAATAAGGTTTCCTCGACTTCCATCTTATCGTGTGACATTAAAATGGGATGGGCGTCAGCTAGTTCTTTTTTCCACAGTTCTAAAAAAATAAATAAAAAACAAGGTATATCAAAATGTATTAAGTAAACTATTTGAAAGTTTAATTTTTTATTTTGTGATGCCAAGAATATTCTTAACATTGAACAACATGGTTTTATTAAAACACGATCGGTTGACACTAATTTATTTGTTTATGGTGAATACATATTGAAAAGTTTAAATGACGGAATGTTGGTAGATTTTGTGTATACCGACTTCAGAAAGGCTTTTGATAAAATTGACCATTCTATCCTAATATCGAGGCTTGCTGAGGTCGGCGTACACGGAAATGTGCTAAGATGGTTTGACTCTTATGTAAGAAATAGGTCTCAAGGATCTCATCTTGGGCCGTTACTCTTTAACCTTTATGTCAATAAATTTATCATGTACGCTGACGATCTAAAAATTTATCATTCTATAACTTGCTTACTTGATGGGATATTGTTTCAGCAAGATCTAGATAGATTTTGCGATTATTGTAGAAAACATAATTTGTTTTTGATTGCATCTAAGTGTAGTTATATACAGTTTAGTCGAAGTAACACTTATTTACATAACAGTTACAACATTAATGAATCTACACTTCAACCAGAGGATAAAGTAAAGGACTTGGGTATATTTCTCGACTCCAAATTATTGTTTGATGAGCATATATATTATATCACTAGTAAAGCAAATAATGCATTAGGCTTTATTTTGAAAACAAGTTACGAATTTAAAAATCCTCATACAATCAGAGCCTTATATATAGTTTACGTACATAGTGTACTCATGTTTGAATCAATAATTTGGAATCCTTTTTACTTAGTATATATAGATAAGTTACAATCTGTTCAGAATAAATTTATTTCTTATTGCCATAAAAAATATTATCCTCAAATAAGAGAAAACAAAATTTTATCGAATTTAAATTTAATCAATCTAGAATCACAGCTTATACAATATACAGCTCCACAACTCCGTGTCGGCGTCTTTGATCTGGCGGTCGAGAACCAAGCAAGACGGAATGGTGCTATCTCTGTTAGATTCGAGGGAAAAGTCGGGCCCGGATTAAACAATTTTTTTATTATTGAAAAAATTGAAAACCTTGGCGTAATAAGGTTGGTTACATGCCATATTAAGTAAGTTTTGGGAAATTAAATTTTTAATTTGTTTTAAATCTGTCAAATATAATTAGAAACATTATTTAAATATAAATATTACGAAAAATAGCACATCTTTCGGATTAGAGGTAAAATAATTTGTATGTAGCTAGTAAAATCCTCGTTAACAAATGTTTTGAGCTAAAACAGTCACTTCACGACAAATTGTGGCTTGGATCCTTTTTACACCAAGGGCTTCAATTGTTAAAGAATTGTGTCACGCTCGTGGATGCAAATCAAGTGGTACCCCGTGTCTCTGGCAAGTGTTACTCTTCGCGCAAAGGGTTTATACCTAGATAAACGAATGCTTCGACTGAGGTCTGGGAACTCTATGGTATTTTGGAATTATAAAGAATTTGTGCTTTTATTTTAACAATATTGGTTATATTTAGATGTATTCTTATTAATTGAAATACAGATTTGTAGAAGTAATACTTTGACAGTTTTTATTAATATAATATATTCAATTTTTATCTGACCATACCGAAGTAGGGAATTTTGAAACTTTATAGTAATGTGAAATTTGAATTACAATATTACACGATATTACATAATTAGTACTTATTTTAGGTAGGTACTAAATTTGTACTTGGAGAAAGTAATATCGATTTTTATAAGAAAACTTGAAAAGTAAATTAATTTAGTTCCTATTTCTGATGTAAAACTTAAGTTTTGGTTTAAACCAAGAAAACAAATAAATTATAGTTTGTTCAACAAGGGTGGATATGATAGCAATATCACACAAAGACGAAGTTTGAGCACGACGTCGTATGCGGAGTACTCAATCGTCTGATTGTGATATGAACAATCCACTCGATATGGTCAGTATATTTTTTCTACGACCCACTAACGAAAATCTACAAATTTAAAAAATTATTTTAGGTTATTTAGACAAAATAATTAATTTTAAAATAATTTACGAAGTTGACTAATTTATAAAATAAAATTAACATGAAAAATTAATTAGTTCTCGGCCTAGATTCGATCCCGGGCTTTTCGCGTGGAAGGCAGATGCTCTGTCCTCATCTTCACCGAAACTTTCAGGACTTTAGTTTTAATACTCGTAATTAAATTAGTATCATGTAGTTTGATTAAAATTTATTTTTTTTTAAATGTGGACACAATAAAAACAAAAATGCTATTATTTATCGAGTCTACACAAAAATTTTAATGTATATTTAATATCAATAACTAAAATATATATTGACAATTAGTTTAACAGAATTGTCACTTATTTAAAAAAATTTAAATAATAGGAGTTGGGTGACCAAAATATGAACTGTGATTTGTAGATTTAATTTTGTTAAAGTGTTCTCACTACCTAAAATGGATATGAAATATATTCGTAGTTGAACGCAATAACATACTTTTTCGTTTTGTAGTATGTGCATAGATTGGCTAATATCCATGCACAGATTACAAAACGAAAAAGTATGCTATTGCCTTCAATTGAACGAATATATTTCATATCCATTCTAGGTAGTGAGAACACTGCAAAAAAAAATAAATTCGCCAATCACCGTTCATATTTTGATCAACCGACTGCTATTATTTTTAAAATTTTAAATAAATGACAATTCTGTCAAACTAATTGTCAGTATATTTTTTAGTTATTGAGATTAAACATACAATAAATTAAGTTATTCTTTTGGAAAACGTTAGCATGGATGACTAAAGGGTATTGGGTTAATTAATTCTAAAAGTGTGGTACAAATGTTATTTTTTGTAGCCAATTCTTCAAAATTATTTTGAAATATCTTTTCAATATTGAATATTAGTTCTACAAATTCATCATTTGACAGTTGCAGATTTCCAAATGTATCTGGATTGGCGTTATCATATGCCTTTAAAAAGCAATAAAAAGAAAAATCATCTAATTCAACGTGATCTTTGTTATATTTAAGATAGGTATCGCAGAGGAGTGGATCCGCAAGGCTTTTATTAAAAGGTAACCACACACATACCTGATAAAATTTTTCTGTATCAATTCGTCTTTACAATAATTTAGGGTGTTAATAATTTTATCATAAAATAAAATACAAGGTGTTTCATTTAAAAAACATACATTTTAATTTGCCAAGCAAAAACGTGACACCCTGTATATCCAAAGATATTTTTAAAATATGTAGGTATTTTTCAAATCCATATAACTTTTATTTAAAACTTTCTTGTGTGTCTACAACAAAATAATGAACAATAACGCACTAATGGGATACCCTGTATAAATTATATTTTTAACAATGAACATTTCTTATAATGTGGTACTTATCGGTTTGGGTCCTTGGGAAAACTAAAGAATGTTTTCTTGCAGGTATAACCCTTATTAAAACAGCTTTTGACTGCACAAACAGAATGATGTCTTTTTTTTTTTTTCTCTCATTCTACTCATAGCTAAAGAGTCACCAAAATAATAACAGTACCTTTAACTCAAACAAAATCAACGAAATTATAGGCTCCACGAAATTATACAATCAACGAAATTATACGCACGACTCAACACCTTACCTAAGTACGCTTCTGAACACCAAAACCGTCTTTTCCCTTCGAAGGCGGAGCTTAAGCGATGCGCGACGAAATCGACGCAAACCGTTGCCGCCAAGAGAGTGTTTTAGCTGTATTGTTAAGCTGTGCTAGAATCACGAAGACAAATTTCTGATATTATAATGTTTATGCACAGAATACTTAATCGTCAAATAGACTTCATTGACTAATTTAAAAACAAGGATTGTACGCTCCGAGATACGTAATTTTTTCGTGGTCTATTTTATAAATATTTTTTGTGGCTCACTCTATATATACCTATCATTTCCCTCATTGGCATTTCACCACCATATTCTTTGGGTAGAACATCAACTTCCACATGTCCGCTTGAAATTACTTCCTGCAAATTGCTGTATAGTCTTACTCTGCTTCTAATCTTTTCTGAAATTAAGGACATGCCGAAGTCGAGGGCGAATTTCATCGAGGGATTAACGTGCATACCATGGACCTCCTTATGTCTCATCGGAAGTGTTCTCTGAAAGTATAAAAATCACGAGAGATATTGCTTTTATTTGATAAGTGGGTAAAATGCAATTTATTTCGCTATAGCGATGTGTGGAGGTAATTGCAATGAAATGTCTAATAAAAAATGAAAAAATGCTTAATAAATATCTATTTAGGACTAAACGATTACATATTTTTATGACAAAAATCAAAATGTAACCGGTATAAAATAATATAAAATATATGTTGAAATTTTCAAGCAAAAATTACTACAAAATAAAAAGGTTGTTTGTTTGGTAAAAACTAAAGTTCCCCCTATTAAAAACCATAAAGATAGCACTATAAATGACTATACTAAACGGTAAAAACTTTTATATTGTTTTAAATTAAAAATCGTACAATATTACACAACCCCTGGTGCCGGCCCTGTTTCCTGCTAGTAGCAACCTTGAACCCATGCCTGCGTAGTGCTGCCGCCTAGCGAGTGACAGACAAGAGAGGTTGACTTGACACAGTTAATAGTTTACCGCGATCGATTCAAATATACATTGAATCAATATATTAGTATTTATTTCACACATTAAAGTTTAATTTTCTTAATACGTGCAGTGTTTTCATATTCTACGTCGTCCATTTACAAAATTGGCTCCCCAACATTAGACCGAACTCATAAAAAATCGAGCCTTTCGCGAGTTTAATGACAAAACTGAACTTTTAATGTTTATTAAGTGAAAATAAAACTATTTTGTGCAAATATATGTTAGTGAGGCGATTGATTCTGCCTTTGGTGAGTACGATACAGTTTATTATTCTCAGAGTCAATCTACATTTTTTGTAGTTTTGGAAAACAGTCAATCTGTTAGATTTCATTGACTGCAGTATTTTTATCATTTTCTAATGAAAGTACCAAAGCACCTTTAAACAGATACTAAGATAGCTAGTAAATAATTAGTAAATTACATTTTTTTCTATATAAATTTTTCGACATGAATAAATCAAGGCGTCATTTGTAAAGTTCGCGCTGAGTCACAGAACGGCAATTACAGAACTGACAGTCTGTCAATCGTGGACTATCTCTCCAGAACTCCGACGTTGTCACGTTTCGAACTTTCATAGCTAAATATAGTAACTGCGTCGCGGTGTTGCCGGACTGTCTGAAATATCTTAGTTTTACAGATTTAATAATTTTTACGCAGTGGCTCAGAAAAGCCTAATGATACAGAAGGATGTGTGGATATCGACGGCGATGGAACAATTTTCGCAATTGCTTATTGCGCTGAAAATACTTCGGTACAAAGTGCCATAGACATTCAGCGTTCCTTTAGTGGATCAGATACGACAAATGTTGACGCGTTTCTGGACATTATTAAAACTTACAAAGAAATTTAAAAATTCGTTCTACTACCGGAAGTTTTACTAAACCCTGGTTTTATACATACTACATTTTTTTGGTATTCCACTTCTGCATTTTCACATAATTTTTTAATTCTACTCTTACACTGCATATTTACAAATATGAATATATTTTTGCTATTATATGCTTTCAACGTCTGATTATTTGAACCTTTCCTTTTTGCCCTTTCAAAATTAGAATTAGCATTGTATGCACAATAATCAGCTAATTTTGAACTAATTTTTCTATTTTCTTTTCAAAGTTTAATATAAAATGGGTAGTCTAAAAATACTGTATAATTTATTTAATTTTATTTACATATTTAATTTAACTTACCTCAAAAACAATTTAAATAAAATAGGGACCGTGCGTGAAATATAGAGGCAGCACTACTGCCGAAGTTAGCCCTCTCTAGTGTTTAATTTTAGAATTAAATGGGGTAAACATTGCAAGTAAATAATAAAGGATATTTTTTAAAATATTAAATATAGTTAAAAATAGATACCGGCCCGTACCAAACAATCGTGTACATGGTCAAAATGACGTAAAATGTGAAACATTATTAAAATCTGGACATGTATATACATTTTAAGCAAAAAGATTTAAATGGATAAGTGACAGTAAATTGTAAAGTTTTAAACAAGTGTATCCAATGTAAAAATATCGGTATTTAGTAACACTGAAATTAAAAGTATTACAATAACATTTAAAAAATGTAAATTAATTAAAAAGATTGATAATAATAATAATAATAATAATAATAAATCTGTTTAGCTTTGTTAGTCGAAATGTCATTCATCCACTGACGTTTATGAGATGTCCAATGATACATATTATAGATTGCTCACCCATTTATAAAAAAATATGAAAAGCGGGTTGCAATGTGCCTTTCCTAGTGCTCACTAAATAGAGCCGTTCTAGCCCAAATGTGTTTTAAAATAAAATTTTAGCATTTTAATCTTTAGAAAAAGAAAATAATTAAAGTTTTACTTCAAGACATGTTATTTGGAAAGTTGAGTTTCGATGTAGTTAAATAATATTAAGAGATCTAAACAATTTTTATAACAGATGGGTATAAATAATTTTTTCTACGTTCATGCAAAAAACAAAACTTTATTGAACTATATTTAATGAAAAAACTGGGTCTTTATTGCACTAGTGCAATAAAAATTTTATTCCACTCATCTGTCATTTTACTACAGCGTTTTATGATCATGACAAACATAAATATTAAAATCAACGCCAAATATTTAGCCCATTTTCATTTTCTGTAGTACGTTTTAAAAACAATTGCATATTTTATATTATTTTCAATCGTTTAATAAATAAATTAATTCAAAAATGTATTTTATTAAAAATGTCATTACAAATTATGAATACAAACGTAAATAAATGCCTCAAACAAAGGTAGACGATCACGCCTACTATGATTTGGATAATAGAACTGCAGTCCTATAAAACATTTTTTGGTTTTTGCATGAACGTAGAAAAAATATTGTATGCAACTCGTGCAAAAAGCGTTTATTGCACTTGTTGCATAATTAACTATTAGACTACTCTTATTTCAGAAATAATACTACATAAAATACATAATTGCAATATGTAATACAATTTTGAAAAGGTAATGTAAACAACTTTGAGGTGAGGTATAAACAACTTTGGTAAGAGTTGTAATTGGACACTTATCTATTATTCTGAATAAGGTTTAATGGTAATGTCACTAAAAAAATTTACAAAAAATCACTGGATTTTTAATATTTTAAAGTTTGTTGCAATCTCTTTTGACAGTAATTGCAATGTATTATTTATGATTTGTTTATTTTAATAATAAATTGTAAAGAGGGCCATGATATTTTTGTCAAATGGGACATTCTTGTTTCATAATAAACATTCTACATTAGTTTTAATCAACAGAATAAACCATTAATTATCTGTAAAATTATATTTATATAAAAGGTTCATTTAAATATGTAAAAATCTTAATGACAAGAAAACACTAAAGATTCTAATTTCTAAACCGGTTCTGTAAATGATTTCTTTACAACTTAAGTGCTCAAAATTGATACAAGCTAGATAAAAAGAAAACTTTGCCTAGTGAAATACGCTTTTCGTCGTCTGATTTACATATGGATAAGCAATCTTTGTAATTATGTATAGCATTGGGTGTGAGACATTAATTGTTGTGCTCTGTGGAAATTTATAAAATTTATTTACTATCGAATGTAATCCAGGTTTCCAAAGTGGTGTTTGTACATCCACGGATGCAACAAGTTTTTTCGATAATGATATTACGAAAATAATTCGACTTTATTTAATTAATAATTATTAAACAATAAATGCCGTATAAAACATTAATAAATACCCCCCATAAAGTTCACATTTTTGTCACCAGTTAGCGTTAAAGTCATGACGCACGGTCCCTATAGTGATATCACAGCATAATAAATAACCAGCAGTATTACTCCCGCCCCTTTCTAAAAATAGAAATTTGACCTTGCTTATGTCACTTCGATTTAGAAGTCGGGGTCGGATTAGGAATATTTGCGAATTTTCGGCTATGTTGTGTCGGGAACGTAATAGGATGAATTTAGGAAATAAAACATTGTTTAATTGTTGACTTATTCGTTTGTTAAAGCATTTGTTTTTAATTTTCAGGTGTTTTTTTTTTGGTGAGGAATATAAAAACACGTTTTTTAGATAACAAGTAGGTACATATTTTTTTTTCCTTTAAAAAATATTTATATTACAATAGTACAAGTACATACATTTTAAAATTTTATGCATGGCGCCATATAATTAACTTATTTTTATTAATATTATTAAAATTTTTATTTTTTAAAAGTATAATATAAACGAACTCTTAAATATAAATAGATTACAAATTTTTGGGAAAATGCGGGCACAAATGTGTGTACGAAATATCTTTGCAAATATTAATATACCGCTCACAAATTTTTGGCTCAGTTATAAACGTTATAAAATTGCTTTGAAATATTGTTTCAATGGTGCTTTTTATTTGTGAAAAATCATCATGTGGATTTCTAAGGTTGCCATATGGGTCACACTGGGCATTCTGGTAATAACCTTTAAAAAATATATATAAAGATGACTCTTTTATCTCTTCACGTGCCTTTGAATATTGGTTGCAAATATCGCATGGCATTATAATATTTAATATTTGCTAAATGTAATAAGACAAGTGAAGATTACCACAATAAACTATTTAGATAAGAACATAAATAGATGTAACCCTCGGGTAAACTATTTTAAATAGTTTTTGAGAATGACATCCGAAAATCCCAATTTGAAAATTTAATATTCGCAATAAACTAATTAGAGACATAAATAGATGCAAACGGAAAACTTTAGATCTTCATTGCTTTAAATATTTTTATGAATTACGATAGCTGTATTTCTTAATTTAAAAATTTGTTGCCACAAAATAAACTAATTAGATAAGTACAAAAATAGATGCCTGCCAAATACATGATAGAACAATCTACGACAAATGTTTTAATCCTGATATAGAAAATAATGATTCTTCTGAATAACTTATTAATTATATATATTTTGTTATATTTTAAATAAAAAAAACTAAATAAATACTATTTAGGATTCGCATGATTGTTAATTTTTCAAAGCCGTAGATGTTTAAAGCACGGGAGCGATATTCTTCGATGCTCTTTTTTTAAGTAGTGTCCTATATAATTATAAGTAAAGTCCTTATAATAATATTAATAAGTAACTTTAATTAATACCATTTTATCAAAATTCTTATTTATTTTTTCCATTGAAAATAATACAAGAAAGAGTACAAGATAACAAATTATATGTTTTCATTATTTAACTATTTTAATTATAATCTAATACCATATCAAAATACGAATAGATGTATTTATATTAAATTAAACAAATTTTAGATTTCTAATTTGTAAATCAGGAGTTAATTTTTCTAGCTAGTTCATTGTCATTGATGAGCGATTTGTTATAAACTTTATAACATTCCTGGGAAATCTTTGACCAACCGGCTGCAGCTCTAATCGCTTCTATGTTAACTCCAGCTGTAAATGCCGCTGAAGAAGCGGCATGCCTCAAATATGAAGGCTTAAGAAATATTCGTATTAGTGCCTTCTTTATTCTTTTCTTTATCTACCTTAAAACAATCTGATAGGATGCTGCATGGTAAGGCTTGCGATGTATAATTAGTAATTTTTTAATATTATCTCTTATTAATTTAGTTAAGAAAGGTATTATTAACTTAGGCTGATCATGACCTGGACCGGATGATTTCAATAATTTCGGCATTAATATCTCAATTTTCTCCCCCAGGTTACGAATATTCCCTATCTCTATTTTTGAAATAGTTTTTATCCTATGTGCTGTGCAAAGAGCAAGTAGTATAAGTATAAAGATAATGAGTAAGATAAAAGAGATTACGAGTACCACGTATGACAATATCTAGAAAATGTAGGACGAAGTTTGTATACTTTGACAAAATATTCAACACGATCTAAAAGTATTGAAAATAGAGTAACTTTAGCCTTTAACAAATTGTTCATTTAAAAATTCAATGATATTGTTTACAGAAGGACTTATTAAATCTATATTATTAATTTTACAGAACATCCACCATTTTCAATCCTGTACCTTCATACGATATCATGATAGAGTTCTATAACCAAGGTAAGGCTCGGCCACAGGACAATAAATTTTTATTTTTTTTTAATTAATTTTGGCCTACAGAGATAAAGTCACCAACAAGTAATTTCGTAAATATGGGAAACCATAGCTGCAATTTCCAGTAGAGTTTCTATACTTTTGTTATATTTTGAATACAAAAACTATAAATAAATACTATTTAGGATTCACATGATTGTTTATTTTTAAAAAGCCGTAATTAGAATGGATGTATCTGCGAGAACAACGCGACCAACTATGCATGCTATTATTTTTTTTATTGTTGAATTTTAGGTCGTACAAAAAATAGTAGTGCTGATCCAATAGTAAACTGTAATTTAATAAAATATACTTTTTTATATTTTGAATAAAGAAACTATAAATAAATAAATACTATTTAGGATTCGCATGAATGTTTATTTTTAAAAAGCACAAACCACACCGTATTTTGCCTTCGAAGTCATATTGTAATGTTTTTCACTAATTTCTATAAACTAATAATACTAATACTAAATAAAAGTTAATACTAAATACTAAAGGTTTAAAACTATAAATATAACTCCGCCACTGGCAACTAAACACAACAAATAAATCTAACCTCTCGCCCATGCAATCACATCCGCTACTGACTGGTTTAGAAAGGTTCTAAATCGAGCAACGTCTTGCGCGGCGAACTGCTCAGATGCGAAAAAATGGGGGAGAAATATTGCTGGTTATTTATTATGCTGTGGTGATATGTTTAAATAAACATTTTGGAAGGAAGTGTTTTATAGCAGTCATGGCCGAGCGGTTAAGGCGTCTGACTAGAAATCAGATTCCCTCTGGGAGCGTAGGTTCGAATCCTACTGACTGCGATTACTTTTTTTTTTTTCTTTAAGGTTTGGAGATTTTTTTTTGTTTTAGAAAAAATAAAAATATATTTTTTTTATCAGCAGAAACAAAATAAAATTTATTCTAAAACAACCGTTCTTGAAAAAAAGATATTATTTCGAATAAATAAAGGGAATGAGTATGAATTTTATTAAATATATTATTTAACAAAATTTGATTATATAGGTACAACTATTTTTAAAGTATGTACGGTAGGTACCTCTATTCTAACAACAAAAAAGAAAAGAAACAAAGTAGGAAGAAAGTAGAAACAGGGTAGAAAGATTGTAAAAACACAGTAGAAACACAGTAGAAACAAAGAAACACAGTAGAAAAAAGTAGAAACATAGTAGAAAGAAAGTAGAAAGGAAGATAAAGTTTAAAAAGACAGGAACAGACAGGAACATACAGGAGCAGACAAAAACATACAGGAACATACTAGTACCAGTGTACAAGCCGAGAGGGAGATACTACTAGAATCCAGCAGAACAGGATGAGACCAAGAAAGAGCGACACAGATACAAAGACAGAAAGGCAGAGACGGTAGACCAGGCACAGGAAGAGAGGAAGGAACAAGAGAAAATAATGTTGTTTTGTTTACTATTAGAGAGAAAGAGTTTCATTGGGTTATTTGACTGGAAATTTAAAAACAGCCAATTCAACATTTCAATATGAATATACAGGGTGTTATTGAAATACACGTACATATTAAAACTGGGTATTGCGCAGATCCCCACTGAATGTAGAAAAATATTATTTTTTAAAAATACCCCTTATTAAGGGAGTTATTAATTTTTGAAAATTAATTCTAAAACAAACGTACTTACTTCACTGATATGTTGAGGATGACCTATATAAATTAGGTTTATTTACCTATTTTAAACATCAACAGTAATTAATATGCAAGTTTTTGTCAGATGATAAGAAAACTAGTCTTGTAAGAAATAACCATGTTGCCAAGATTTTCGAATTAATTTCTATTTCCGAAGACTGGTTTTTACTACCCTCGTTATCAAAAAACTAGAATATTTGATAAATGATTGTTTTTAAACTATACATTTTTAAAACTATAGATTATTAAAATTTTAGTTGATTTACGAATCTGGCTAACACGAGCGCGTCATTTCCAAGTTGGTAAAAAGTGTTGTTACGATTACTTTTAAATATTTTTTTACGATGCCACTATTTACGAATATTGAACTAACGGATATAGTGCTGGTTTATGGGGCAGCTGGAGAAAATTCTCGGCAAGCACAAATCCTGTATCGCGAACGGTTTCCAAATCGGAGAATTCCGGACTGTCGTACGTTTATTTCAACTGTTCAGCATCTAAGAGACCATGGAAAATTTGAGAGTGTCAATGCAGATCGAGGGGGAACAAGAACACAAAGAACATTGGCGGCCGAAGAAGAAATATTGGAAGCTGTTGAAAACCGGCCTCAATTAAGTTGTAGAAGACTAGGTCTTGAAATTGGAGTGTCCTCATTTGTTGTGTGGCGGACACTTAAAGAACAAGGTTTACATCCTTATCACATCCAAAAAGTCCAGGCCTTATATCCAGGTGATGAAGAAAAGAGAGTGGAGTTTTGTGAATGGATGATTCAAAAATGTGTTGATATTCCTGATTTTCTAAAAATATTATTGTATACTGACGAGGCTTCATTCACTCGTGATGGCGTGTTCAATATGCACAATACGCATATTTGGAGTGATAAAAATCCTCACGCCATTATGGAAACTGGGCATCAAAGAAAATTTTCAATAAATGTTTGGGCTGGCATAATAGATCAGTATTTAATCGGGCCTTATGTTCTCCCGAACAGATTAAATGGGCCAGGATATCTCCACTTTTTAGAAGATATTTTGCCAGTACTCCTAGAAGAGATACCGTTACAATTAAGGCAACGGATGTGGTACCTACTAGATGGCGCTCCTCCTCACTTTGATTTAAACGTACGGCAGTTTTTGAACATTAGATTTCCTCAAAAGTGGATAGGCAGAAATGGACCTACTAAATGGCCTCCGAGATCTCCGGACTTAAATCCATGCGATTTCTTTTTGTGGGGTCACATGAAACAACTGGTTTATAATGAACCTATTAATAGTGTTGAACAATTAACCAATAAAGTTAATGCGGTAGCCGACGAACTACGACAAAATCCAAGACTAATTTCTAATGTTCAAAGTTCTTTGGAAAGACGATTGCAAGTGTGTGTAAATAATAATGGACGGCATTTTGAACAATTACTGTAATAAACTTTATTTTGAATTAATTGGTTTTGCTACGGCAACAGTGCAATTTCTATGGGTAAGTTCAATTTCGATTTATTTTACTTCTTTAAATATGGAAACTAGTAGGTCGGAAAAGGGGACTCTTCCCCAATATTTAAATTTTAGAATTTGAAGTTAAAATTGGTGCTAATCGTTTTTGGTCATTACATACTATTCCCCATTTTAATATGTACGTGTATTTCAATAACACCCTGTATACAGAGACATTGTTACAAGATACAGCTGAAAATAAAATGAGACATTAATGATCAATTGCAAAAAAATGGGAGCGGTGCTGAAGCATTTAGGCAATTCTAATACTAATCGATTCGAATAACTTACCTCTCCGTTTTTAACTATACGCACGGCTTCCTTGATGGAGAATAAAGTTAGGTAGGGGAATCCCACTCCTTGTCCATCGGCAAAGTGTACAAATCCCCTAACTTGATTTTCTTCGTCTTCCATCAAAGTTTCATACACGATACCATGGATTCGACACATGTCCGCGTTGGTAAACGAATATAGATCGAATACGCCTTGTAAAGAAAGTTAAATATTACAAAAGGTTTAGTGCGAGGAGTGTGCTAACTAACATACAGGAATAGTGGGTATTTCTAGCAAAAAAGGAAAGAGGAGGAACCGAAATCTAGTGATGAGCGAGACTGGTCTTGGTCTTGCATTTTTGTAAGACCAAGACCAGCTGAAAGCTTGCAAGACCAAGACCGAGTGTGCAAGACTTACGCGGTCTTGGTTTTGGTATTGTTTTGTTCATCACTACCGAAATCTACGTTTTTGATTATTCGTTTTTCCAGTATTGTGTGGCCAAGTTATAAGGAACATGAAATGGAATTTGTGAGAGAAAAATCAAGCAAAAGGAGTATATTTCCGATCAAGCATACATTGGCGGTGTCACAAGTTTGACCAAATACAATCACTAACATTATTAGAAAATAAAATAAAATTAGACACGAATCGCAATAGATGGCACATGATGTGGAGGCCTGCAGAAGATAATGCTAGGTTATATAGATAAGATAAGACATTTTAGTGATGCTTTTCAAAATACTCACCAGGCCTAGTTACTATTACCCTCCTTCCCTTGCTGTCTCTTTTTGGACAAGCGAACATGTATCCCAATTCGGTAAGCTGTTGCATCATTGGTATCGTGATGTCCAAGCAGTTAAAGGCGACTCCGAATGTCTGCCGCAAGAGGATGTAGCGTTCGATGCATTCTTGTGCGAGTGTTACGTGGAATTTTTTGAAACGCAAAAATCGCAACAGGAATTTCGAATCTAAAAGCGCAAATTTAATTAAGACTAATCTACTCAAATGTTTTATATTGTTTTAGCGTGGATACAAATGAATATACGAAGTTTGTTCAAATGAAATCCATTTTTTTTACAAATAGTCCTTGAAAACAAATTGTAAATCTTTCCCAGCAAGTTCAAGCGAGGACATTCGACCTTAAAAACGTTTGCCGTTCATCTAACTCAATTAAAAAACTATGGAGGACATTTCGGCATGGTTTATTCTACTTACCCATTCTACAATTCCTTATTTTGGGATTCTGCATGATCCATTCTCGCATGGAGGCCAGCGCTGATCGACGAGAACTTTCGTCTTCGCGCAGCTCCTCCTCGGCGATCTTCTGGGTCTCAGGTGACAGCGTGCAGATGTAATCGTCTGGGTCGGTGACCCACTTGCGGTCAGACATTATCTAGAAGAAACAGAAAGTAATGTTTGAGTTTAATTGGAATTACTTAACAAGGTAGAAAATTAGTAATTTCTAGTTAATTTTTAGGAATGACTGATTAATATACAAGGTGGTGTAAAAGATCGATCAATTTTTTTTGTTATACAAATAAAATTGATGTCAATTTTAGGAGTTTAATTCCAAAAATAATCAAATTAGGATCTAATTTAAAATTTTTGAGACGATGTTAATTAATTTGGTATCTAACAACTAATTCTACAGGTTCGAAAAATGTATTTTTTTGAATACTATTATTTTTTCGTCCCCACATCTTTTTAGATCTCAAATCTTTATCCACAAATAAATTATTATTCATTTAAAAATGTCGGACATTCTATTGCGTTTGCGGCTTCGAATCATATAAAAAAGGAAACTATTTTTATTTTAAAATTACGTCGCTAATAATAATATAATTGTTTTCACAAAAATCAAAGGTTTTGTAGGAAAAACTACTGCAGTTTTATGACGCGGTCTAATGAAAAACACGTCAAAAACTTTAATTAATAATTAAATGAATGTTTTGTTTATTGATTTTTCTCTTATTATGATAGCTTGTTTTTTCCAATAAATAATTTTAATGAAATAAATAATAAATAATAGAAGACATGGTGCTTTAAAAATTTTCCTTTTAACGGTACAAGAATGTTGATTATTTATTTATGAAAAACATCCATACTTGGGAGTCCAGACGGCATTATTAATAATAATGAATTAATTAAATGTCCATTTTCTTTGAGATATAAACTTTATCAATTCTCTAAAAAAAATAATCCGGAGTTGACTTTTTTGCTTTCAAAATTCATATACTTACGGGCTATGAAAGTTGATGAAAAACAAACATGTTTAGTTTAAAGCAGTATCATGGAAATTTTCATTAAAATGCTATAACTTTTGAACTGTTTAAGATACATTTTTATCCAGGCATATTCTTATAGAGCATTAAATTGTCTAAACGAATACACCAGAGTTGATTTTTGTTGCATCAAAAATCCATATACATACGGGCTATGAAAGTTGATGTAGTTTAAACCTCTATGATTGAAAATTTTTGAACTGTTTGAGATAAAAATTTATCCAGGCATATTGTAGGGCATTATTCTCTAAAAAAAATACTTCGGAGTTGATTTTTTTTATCTCAAAAGTTCATATACTAACGGGCTATAAAAGTTAGGAAAAAAAACGCATTTTTAAAGTTCTATAATAGGAATTTTTTATTTTAAATGAGAAAACTTACATTGAAATGAAGTAATTATATAAAAAATATTAATTATAAACTAAATTTGTCAAAGATAAAAAGATTTTAACTCATTTTTTCCTGTTTTTACTGTAAAACTCACGAATTAGAATTATAATTGTTTTAAAAAAACTCAAGATTGCCTAATTTGCATTTTAGTAATTTTAGAACATAAACAATAATTATTAAAATACAAACTTTGTCAAAACCATGAGAGTAAATCGAATGTTATCAAGGGTACTTTTTTGTAGTAAATGAGAACCCAATCCAAATTTCATACTCAAACCCCTTTTTTGCCATTGGCGTAGAATTTTTAAAGGTGCAATTATTTAAAAAATCAAGTTATGTATTATTATCGGACAAAATTTTATACGATGAAAAACATAAAAATGTACTTTTTTCATATCTTCTTCAACACCTCTAATCGAGACTTTTAACAAAAATACTCGATTCTTGCCATGTACGATTTTTTGAGGAATATTAATTATTTGTATATGTATGTATACAAAAACATTTATTGTTGGTTTATCTAAGTAAAAATATTGTCAAGTTTTAACACCTAATCGTTTCGGGAATTTCATGTGGCACACCCTGTATATTAAGTTTAGGACGTTGCTGCCGCTCTCAAGTTCGCATAAAAGTTAAGTAGGTCAATAATTATTCCGAAGAATGGTTATAGGTACCATTGGAGAAAGTAAACATTAAATAAATATCGATATCGCTGTTACATTGGATAGGTATTGCACAATGCTCTCCAAATCTATTACATCATCCAATTACAGTTCGTTGCAATTTGCAAAAAGTGCATTTTAGTTGTATCTGAACTTTCAACCTCGAACTGAAAGTAAGAAAGTAATCATCTCGTGAAATTTAAGGTTAGAATGACTTAGGACATCTGAAAAAAGTTCCTAAAAAGCATAATGTTTTTCATTTTGCCATGGTTTTATAATTTAAAATTCTATATTTAATTAGAAAAAAAAATCTCATTAAATCGTGAATAATGGTTTAGAAAACAAGATAAAATATAAATAAAGAGATGTACAGAACAAAATTTGACTCTCCCTCTACGAGGGAGAGTCAAATAAAAGCCCCAAACACGTTATTACGTATTATTTATAAAAGCAATGGCCCAAGAATTTATTTTGTAAAGGAATTTGGTAAAAACTAATTGTTTGAGACATGATGAAATTCTGATTTTTAAAATTAACTTTAGTAAATTTTTTCTTCTTTTTTCGAATATTTTATTATCGAATTTTTGTCGCCATTTGCTAATTTGTTTCACCGCTTGGTTTTGTGCAATATTAGTCAAAAATGGATTTGATTTAATTGTTACCACTCAAGCGTTAACCATAGAGACATGAACCCTATTATAACGATTTTTATCACTAATTCAAATAAATAAAAACTTGGTAATATTTACAATATTTATAAACTTAATAGGTGAAAAAATCATTATGTATTTTCTAGTAATTATGAATTTGCTAATAATAATTTATTATATAACTCAGTAAGAGAAAGAGAATTGATTTTAGATCAAGGTCAAGAGCTAAAAGAATATTATTTAAATGGCCAGCGTGTTATATAACTTTCTCTTAATAATAACCGCACAGAATTATATTTTTTTATTAGGAAATAATCAAGCCTACGTTTAATAAAATTGATTTCGGTAACCACTTTTGCGAAATTTAATAAATTTCACCAAATTATCTTTTTCAAAATACCAATTAATAATTGGTATTAGAAAAAAAATTCAATGTTCTGTTTTTGTTGCAGAATATTTAACATTAGCACTGCAACCATAGAAATAGTATAGAAAGCCGATTCCATATATCAAAAATGAAACCATAAGGAGAAAATAGTGTGTCGGAGCTCATGCGTATAACGGTGCTGGTGCGAACAGGACCGGTGCAAGTTTTTTATTGATCGAACAAATAGTTCGCACGATATTTCAATCATACATTTTTAGAGATGATTATATACAAAAAACGATTAAAAAAATTTCAAGTTAAGGTAAATATGGTTCTGACAGTCGTTATTAAGAAAGATATGACATAAAATATGAATTAGTTAATTTTCGGCAATCATTAGTACAGTAGTCATGAGATTTTGCTTGTGATTTTAAAAATACTTTCCAGAAAAACCACGTGCTCCGGTTTTGACTACGTTTATTATTAAACAGCGAAATTATATACAAAAACTTTAATCCACAATCTAAATTAGGTACTATCACAAGAAAATCACTGTTACAATAATTAATTACTTAACCAAAAACTAAAATATTTTTTAGGTACCTACGTAATCAGAAAGGAGCTGGACCATTTATCCTAATATTGATTTTCTCTCTCCCTACGGTAAAACTTAAAACAATAATAAATTGCCTATCTACTAGGATCGGTAACTAAACGTATATACATAATGGGCGGATTTTGTTTATACTTAACATTACACTCGCGCATTTAAATATAACTATGCATATAAATATTTACAAACAAAGATACTTTTCCAAACAGGCAATCATTAGTACTGTAGTCACGAGATTTTGCTTTTGATTTGACATCTTATTTGATAATATTATTTGCTACAACTAAATTTAATCTGGGGAGTGCAAAATAGGGCCCAGGAATATTATGTTAGATCATTTTTTTACATTTTGTCAGCCGAGACTATGAGTCGTTAGACAGAAAACCTTTCATGTTACCATTTTCAATATAAATTAAAAAATACTACTACATTTACTTGGTACATATTTTATTTTAATTTTGAACCTTTTTAAAAGGGTCTTTCGGTTCCATAATAAAAATTAGTTGCTGCTTACTAGAAACATTCTATATAGCCTAAACCAATTTATAGTTTGTTTTCGATCAATTTAATACAAAGATTTAAAGTTTTTAGTCGATGATAACATTCCACACCAGCACATTGCAAACCTATTTTATAAATAATAGGAATAAACTTGTAAATCATTAATTTGGTAGTTATCTCACTCATATGATTTTTTTGTTTATATGACTATTTCGATTTCTAAATATATTTTGGCCTTACAATACGAAGCGTTTTGTATCTACCACTTTTTTAATGAACGATGAATGTTGGCAGGCGTGTACCTTTTTCGGAACAAGAGGCGTTTTAACGAAGGAAATGATTTTCGAACTATCTAGTTAGTTTTCGGAAAAATAGAAAACGTTTGAAGAAAGTTGTCAATAACAGTTTGTCGTTCATGTGTTTCATTTTGATCAGCTTTCATACTAAATGGCGTAGAATATTTTTCCGATTCAAAATCGAGAGTCTCGATATTTCCACAGTTTATTTATAATACCTTCTAAACTGGATTTATCTATCATTTTATACACTTTATAATATATGTTCATGCCCTACTTTTCACTTTATTAACAATTTTTTTTTAACATACCTACTTCAAAATGGTAGGATATTCTCAATTCGTTGAAATATTTTTTTATGTATGTTGAGCGATAATTCTTTACCACGTTGCCCGATTTCTAGGATTATTTTTGTTAGAAAAGGAAACAGTTTTATATACATTAAGTCAAGATCTGAAGATGGGATCCATAAGAAAATCATTAACATCTTTATTTTTAAAGTAGGTTTTTTTTTAAATTTCTTTAAACCTTACTGGTTCGAACGCGGTAAGGAATGAAGAAATGTAAATAATTGTTGTGCCAGCCAAAAAGCGAAGAGGAAGTACCGATTAAAATATCGAGTGACAGAAGAGTTCCTAAGATTGTTGAGATCGGGTTTATGTTTTAAAATGCATTAAAACCGATATCGATAATGTCTCCCCGTCGCTGGGCAGCCTGTATATAAATATACAGCTCTCTATTTAAATAATTATAATTCTTAGGTAGGTTTAGATTTGCAGACATAAATCTTGTAATAAATATAACAGCTGTCTAATACATTAATTACATTTTCATTAGCCAATGTAAAAATGTCTTTTATTGTACCTAGGATTTGACTAAACACTACACAAAACTAAAAATAAAATGCCACTTTCATCGTGTAATTAATGCCGCGTTTGAGAATCCACATCGGATGCATTTTTTACATCTCGAGCGTTTTTTATCCACATCGGACACATCTGTCCCATTACATTTACGTATACTGAATCACGTGATCAAAGATTTACTACTTACTACATCTCAGATGCATCCGATGTGGATTCTCAAACGCGGCATAAATAATAAACTACAAACGGTCCTGTAAGGGCAGCGTCATATAGCCTTGAAACACCGGATTTTAGTGCTATTGCCAGGTCAATATTGAATTTGTAGGTGAATCGCTTATTGAACATTAAAAATACGGTATTAATGACATTAATACGGTATTTGTATATATTTTTGGGAATGTAATTACACATAAATATTATTAGTTGATTATTTAAATGTGTATAAGTTATTTTGTGGCGATATTTCGTAGATATAAACTGTTTAAATCATATAATTTAAAAATTAATTAATTTAAAATTCTTTTCTGTTAGGTATGTTTAATATATTTGGCAACACTACAGGGACAAGTCATGCATATTGCGCAAGCTTCTAGACACACTATTTTGCGATGTCAGGCGCAGAGACGCGTTTTTATGCACAGTAGGTTTCAATTTCTGCTTAAATGTTATGTTTATATTGGTCTTCTAATTTCTATGACTGCAACACTGAAAATCATTGGCAATATTTGAGTGAACATTTCAATATTCAGCCCTAATTTATTTGTAATAATATTAATATAAATAATTAGATCTCTTTGTCTTCTACTTGACTACTAAGATTTCAATAATATAATAATAAAAATATGAAAAACTATAAATGTTACTGGTTTCTATAATTATATAATATTAAGAATTCTACCTGAATTTGAATATTTGGAGGTCATGGTTTCGTTTATGTTAATATTAAAATTTACTAACATCCGGATTATAAAATTTATTACTTACTTTCTGTTTCATCTTCTATTGCCAATGAGTTTATTTTCCACATTTCCACTAAACTTTTATTGAATACCGGATATTGCCTATTTGGTAAAACATGTAAAAAACTTCTTCAATCGATAAATGGATTTTAAACTCTCAAATATGGTCATCTTCAAGATAAATAAAATGAAAAGTCAATACCTACCACAACTTTTATTGGATTGACGACCGGTTTCGACTAAAGAGCCATTTTCAAACATAAATAAATTGAAGTTAGGCCTTGAATGTAAATTATGTATCGCACAATTAGGATTGCAATTATTAAGTTAATTAATTCCATAAAAAATATAAATAAAAAACAACAGCATTATATTAAAACTATTTATAAATAGTTACATTAATGGAAAGAAGGAAATTTAAAAAAAGTTTAATTTGACAGGCATTTTAACGTAAATCTGACTATTCTTTAAAGTGAGAAACGACTTAATACGACTAATACCACAGCTTATACAATACAGCTCCACAACTCCGTGTCGGCGTCTTTGATCTGGCGGTCGAGAACCAAGCAAGACGGAATGGTGCTATCTCTGTTAGATTCGAGGGAAAAGTCGGGCCCGGATTAAACAATTTTTTTATTATTGAAAAATTGAAAACCTTGGCGTAATAAGGTTGGTTACATGCCATATTAAGTAAGTTTTGGGAAATTAAATTTTTAATTTGTTTTAAATCTGTCAAATATAATTAGAAACATTATTTAAATATAAATATTACGAAAAATAGCACATCTTTCGGATTAGAGGTAAAATAATTTGTATGTGGCTAGTAAAATCCTGGTTAACAAATGTTTTGAGCTAAAACAGTCACTTCACGACAAATTGTGGTTTGGATCCTTTTTACACCAAGGGCTTCAATTGTTAAAGAATTGTGTCACGCTCGTGGATGCAAATCAAGTGGTACCCCATGTCTCTGGCAAGTGTTACTCTTCGCGCAAAGGTAGATAAACCTAGATAAACGAATGCTTCGACTGAGGTCTGGGAACTCTATGGTATTTTGGAATTATAAAGAATTTGTGCTTTTATTTTAACAATATTGGTTATATTTAGATGTAATCTTATTAATTGAAATACAGATTTGTAGAAGTAATACTTTGACAGTTTTTATTAATATAATATATTCAATTTTTATCTGACCATACCGAAGTAGGGAATTTTGAAACTTTATAGTAATGTGAAATTTGAATTACAATATTACACGATATTACATAATTAGTACTTATTTTAGGTAGGTACTAAATTTGTACTTGGAGAAAGTAATATCGATTTTTACAAGAAAACTTGAAAAGTAAATTAATTTAGTTCCTATTTCTGATGTAAAACTTAAGTTTTGGTTTAAACCAAGAAAACAAATAAATTATAGTTTGTTCAACAAGGGTGGATATGATAGCAATATCACACAAAGACGAAGTTTGAGCACGACGTCGTAGGCAGAGTACTCAATCGTCTGATTGTGATATGAACAATCCACTCGATATGGTCAGTATATTTTTTCTACGACCCACTAACGAAAATCTACAAATTTAAAAAATTATTTTAGGTTATTTAGACAAAATAACTAATTTTAAAATAATTTACGAAGTTGACTAATTTATAAAATAAAATAAACATGAAAAATTAATTAGTCCTCGGCCTAGATTCGATCCCGGGCTTTTCGCGTGGAAGGCAGATGCTCTGTCTTTATCTTCACCGAAACTTTCAGGACTTTAGTTTTAATACTCGTAATTAAATTAGTATCATGTAGTTTGATTAAAATTTATTTTTTTTTTAAATGTGGACACAATAAAAACAAAAATGCTATTATTTATCGAGTCTACACAAAAATTTTAATGTATATTTAATATCAATAACTAAAATATATATTGACAATTAGTTTAACAGAATTGTCACTTATTTAAAAAAAATTAAATAATAGGAGTTGGGTGACCAAAATATGAACTGTGATTTGTAGATTTAATTTTGTTAAAGTGTTCTCACTACCTAAAATGGATATGAAATATATTCGTAGTTGAACGCAATAACATACTTTTTCGTTTTGTAGTATGTGCATAGATTGGCTAATATCCATGCTAAAAAATAAATTCGCCAATCACCGTTCATATTTTGATCAACCGACTGCTATTATTTTTAAAATTTTAAATAAATGACAATTCTGTCAAACTAATTGTCAGTATATTTTTTAGTTATTGAGATTAAACATACAATAAAATAAGTTATTCTTTTGGAAAACGTTAGCATGGATGACTAAAGGGTATTGGGTTAATTAATTCTAAAAGTGTGGTACAAATGTTATTTTTTGTAGCCAATTCTTCAAAATTATTTAGAAATATCTTTTCAATATTGAATATTAGTTCTACAAATTCATCATTTGACAGTTACAGATTTCCAAATGTATCTGGATTGGCGTTATCATATGCCTTTAAAAAGCAATAAAAAGAAAAATCATCTAATTCGACGTGATCTTTGTTATATTCAAGACAGGTATCGCAGAGGAGTGGATCCGCAAGGCTTTTATTAAAAGGTAACCACACACATACCTGATAAAATTTTTCTGTATCAATTCGTCTTTACAATAATTTAGGGTGTTAATAATTTTATCATAAAATAAAATACAAGGTGTTCTATTTAAAAAACGTACATTTTAATTTGCCAGGCAAAAACGTGACACCCTGTATATCCAAAGTTATTTTTAAAATATGTAGATATTTTTTAAATCCATATAACTTTTATTTAAAACTTTCTTGCGTGTCTACAACAAAATAATGAACAATAACGCACTAATGGGATACCCTGTATAAATTATATTTTTAACAATGAAAATTTCTTATAATGTGGTACTTATCGGTTTGGGTCCTTGGGAAAACTAAAGAATGTTTTCTTGCAGGTATAACCCTTATTAAAACAGCTTTTGACTGCACAAACAGAATGATGTCTTTTTTTTCACTCATTCTACTCACAGCTAAAGAGTCACCAAAATAATAACAGTACCTTTGACTTAAACAAAATCAACGAAATTATAGGCTCCACGAAATTATACAATCAACGAAATTATACGCACGACTCAACACCTTACCTAAGTACGCTTCTGAACGCCAAAACCGTCTTTTCCCTTCGAAGGCGGAGCTTAAGCGATGCGCGACGAAATCGACGCAAACCGTTGCCGCCAAGAGAGTGTTTTAGCTGTATTGTATAAGCTGTGGCTGCACATTCAGGTCCAGATTTAACGAGTGGATAATATAATACATGTAAATCCAAACCGCTAATTCAACGTAGAACCAGATAAAAAAAGAAATATTGTTCCTTGTTTAATTTTCGGTCTGTGTAGAACCTTTTTAATCATAAAAAGTTTAAAATTTTGCATTTTTGTGATACAGTTAGTTCGTTTTTAACCCATAGTTCGTCATATTATTATCATCTCAGTAAATATTTGTGTCGACACACAATTAGTGCTATAGACATACGAACTATATGCGTTTCATTTATAATAACAGTGCAAGAAAGAAAGGAAAATATCTTATAGTTATTCTCTTTTGATTTGACTGTAAGTCTTCTACCATTCTGATGTGGGCCAGTCCTCCTGCAACCCTTTACGATTACAAGAAGTAAATTTTGAACAATGACTGGATTTTCTGTTAAGGCAGACTGAATTTAAAGTCTAAGGCAGTCCAATCTCCAATATTCAAACAGGCATGAATCAATAGAGGTTATAAAATTTTCAGAAAATTTAAAGAAAACTCCAGAAGAATTTAATAAACTAGAAGAATTGCTTAGAGACCAACATGCCTTGGATTTATGGTACATTAAAAGAAGAAAGAGGCTTACAACGTCACTCTTTGGGATTGTTTGCAAGAAAAGAACGACAGCTGCCAATCACTTTTGGATACATTATTATATCAAACTTATGACTACAGCAAAAATAAATAAAGAAAATTCTAGGAAGCAATTATAAAAAATAACTTAGAAAAACTCTAGATCTGTGTGATCGTTTTGTTGATATCTAACAGCCTTTTTTAGTAGCAACCCCAAATGGTCTTATCGAAGGTAGAGGTCAAGTTAAAATAACATTTCCGTATTCTGCAAGGCAAATGATCCCAGAACAAGGAATTCGAACCAAAAATATTACTTTTTTGACAAAACAAAATTGACAAAAACCACAAATCGTATTATCAAGTTCAAGGACAAGTACACATAACACGCTACACAGTTTCAAAACGGAAACAATTGTAAGGGATACAAAATGATTGAGCCTTTTCTATGAAAGGCTAGAAACATGCTAATAAAATATCCTGAGTATATCTTAAAAGTCATCAATAATAAAAAGAAAAACAGAAAAAGATAATAAAGAATATATTCTTAGCGTCTACTTTAAGTTTTAAGTGTTTACCTATTTTATAAAACTTTTTACTATGTCGTTAATGCAATTTAATTTGTGATAGTGTCATGGGCGTCGTTTGGGGGGGGCATGGGCGAAGTTATGTCATCAGATCTGGGGGGGCTAAAGCCCTAGCCCTAGTTATATAATATATATTAGTTCTAGAGGTATACTAAAGTTAAGTAAAAAAATTCTGGCGAATCTATGAAAAATTTCCTCATTTTCGCAGTCATGAAATAATAGTTTGTGCAACAAGAGTAGATATGGACAATTCACTCGAGTTGTACAGTATATTTTTTCTATGAACCACTAAGGAAAATATAAAAATTTGAAAAATTATTTTAGGTTTAGACAAAATAACTAATTTTAAAATAATTTATGAATTTTATTAATTTATAAAATATAATAAACATAAAATAAGCCCCTTGTCCAGATTCGAACCCAGGCTATTCACGTGGAATCTAGATGCTCTGTCCTCAGCTCCACTTCACTCCAGGTTTTTAGTTTTAATACTCGTAATTAAATCAGTTTCATACAATTTGATTAAAATTCATTTTTTTTTAAATGTGGCCCAAATAAAAATAAAAATGCCATTTTTTATCGATTCTAAACAAAAATAACTAATTTTAACGTATGTAATCTTAATGACTAAAAAATATACTGACAGAATTTAAAATTTTAAAAATAATAGTAGTTGGGTGTCCAAAATATGAACTGTGATTGGTGGATTTCATTTTTTTGCAGTTTTCTCACTATGTTATGTTGGAATTGGGGTGTTAATAAACTGCGACCTAAAAGATCT